GCATTGTGACGTCATGTGTCACAAAAAAATGTTATAGTTGAAGAGAGAGAGAGAGAAAAATAAGACATTCTTTTTTTTTTTAATTTTTAATTCACAATAACATTAAAGTAACAAACATGGAATACTTTGACATAATTCTTTTTGAATAGGAAAAGTTCTCCTCATGTACAAATATTCTGTTTCACAAGCGCAGTCCATGATGTCGTATCCTTCTTTGAGCACTTTATTTACATAATCTTTGATACAATCACGGATTTCTTCCATCCATTTCCCTTGAATCCAAGTCCTTGCTGGTCCCTCTGGTTTGTGAGCGAAAACGTATTTTACTTTCCATTTGAATTCCTGATACTGGGGTCGCCATGGTCCTAATATTACTTTTATAAGTTGTCCACATTCATGGTCCGGTAATTTGATTCTCTTATACAGGTACACATCATTGACTCCTGTTTCTCCCGGATTCCTATCCATGAAATCTTGGATACATTCATCTTTATTTTTCATCCATTCTCCATTTTTAGTGGAACCTGTATGTTCTTGCATTTTCCAACGATACTCTGAGCTTAAAAAATCCATGTTGCTCTATCCTCAGTCAGATCAGAAATGACTCTTTTTTTTTTGTTTCCCCATTTTATATATATATACTCTGTGATGTATTTATTTTTTTTAAGACATTACCCCTGTGCATTGGTGGTCTTCTTAGGGGTATGATGCATCATTGTAGGACTAGGCATGATATAACCCACTGAAGAACTGACACATACCATCCAATATTCTCGATTAGGATCATGTAAAGCTAACATGACCACACTAGTGACGATGAGAGAGACACAGATAAATAATTGGGCGAAATAAACGATTTCTTCTCGAGGAATATTCTCTCCACAAAATTTCCAATGAGGCGTTATTTGATGAGATCCGTTTGGGGAATCCATGAATCAAAACTAGGAGGATATCCTTTCCACCGAACTTTGACTTCTTGAATGATTTTTTTCCCGACGCGTCGCTTTTTATACCCTAAGATTTCCTCCACTTCGTACACGTCGTCTTTTTTAATGATCTTTTGTAATTCTTTTTCGTAAAAAGTCCCTTCTAATTCCTCTCCGTTATAATCTTGCACTCTATACACGTAAGGATACCTTCCAGGAACTCTTTTAGAAATGGTAAACAGTTCTGTGGTCCAGTTAGGTAAATATCCTTTTTCAAATGTGTGTTTGGCTTTACTGATGCGGACCTGATCTCCTTCTTTAAACTGAGGTTTAAGAAATTGTTTCTGATTCGATATCCCATATAAAGTTTTCCAGACTTTTAACACATTAGAAGCATTTACTTGAACTGGGGCTCTTTTGATACTCCTATGATAGGTATGATTGTAAGCATACACTAAATCCGGTAAAACTTCTACATACCGTCTGGTTTTATGACGAGTAAAATAACGCCACATGCGTGCTTTGAGTGTACGCTGAAATCGTTCCACGATACTAGCTTTAGTGTCCGTATTACGAGTAGTAAAAAAATGAATGGATTTAAAAGCTTGTAAGAATTCTCGATTAGTAAATTCTTTTCCTTGATCCGATTGAATGCGGACGGGACGTCGACCGTCTTGTTGAAAAATCTCTTGTAATCCTCGAATCATTTCTTTTCCTGTTTTCTGTTTTAAAGGCACTACCCAGGCATATTTAGATAAGACGTCAATGGCACATAATAAAAACGTATATCCATCATTATGTTTCTTTAAACTGGACACATCTGCTAAATCTAATTGCCATTGTTCGTCTATATCGGTCACTCTAGTCTGTTGTCTCCGGAATTTTCTTTGAATGGGTTTATGTAAAGTATAAGTATCTTGCTCTTTTAACCATTCTCGAATCTTTTCAGGGAAATTCCTAAAGGTTTAACCTGACGATACAAAGCTTGTATTCCTCCGTACCCTCTTTTAGGATCATAATAAATCTCTTTTAAAATATCTTCTACTTGTTTCTTTTTCATATTTTAGGCAATGAAAGCCAATTTTCATCGATTTGTCCTAATTTCTTTTCTTCTTCCTTTTTAGCTTTAAAGGATCTAATGTCTTCTTCGACTTGGGCTTTTAATTTCTTTCGAGCTAAAGGACTATATCTGGATCCTACCCTTGTCCCTACAGGGGTTGAAATGGATTTTTTAATGACGGTTCCTCGATCTTCTAGGGGTCTACTCACTGGAGTGTCAAAAAAGGAAGAAAATCCACTATCGTCTATTTCGTGACTTTTATGAGTAATGATTTTTCCAGGTCTCTGCATGGCTTTTATAAGGTTTCCATTGCTCACGTATTCCAGAGGAGTACGCGTTTCTTTTAAAGCTTGAGCAAATTGTTCTAATCCTGTAGGAACCGGATGAGTTTTACGAGAATAAGATCTCATACTATCAGCCATTAAATCCACAATGTTAGAATCGGGAATTTTTTGACCTCGATAACTAATTTCACCTTCTTTATTCCAAGTTAACACTTTAGGTTTTTTTTTAAATGATTTAATAATAATCCAGCTTTTCTTTTCATGTTTTTATTCACTGTTTCAAGAATTTCATCGTCAATTTCAGCTGCTGGTAATGCTGCTGCTGCTGAGGCTGGAGCTGGAGCTGCTGCTGCTGGAGCTGCTGCTGCCGGAATTTTCAGTTTAGAAATAGGTTCCTGTCTAGCTTGTTGTAAATAATTCCTATATCGATGAAGTTCCTGGCCATATAAAGCAACTTTTTCTTCTGGGGTTAAATCTTCACGTCTTGTAATCTCATCCAATTCCTGACCTAAACTGATGGTGGATTGAAATTCCGGAGGTTTGGGTAATTTGGCCTTGAGATCATTTAATAAGACTTCAGGAACTAACACCATTTTACGACTCATATTTTTTTCTTCTTCTTCTTCTTGAGGACTTTATAGACGGATTGACCGGCACCTAACAGTAAAGGTGCTGCTGAGATTAATAAGGGTAAAATGTTTCCTCCTTTTTGTTGAAGTAATAAAGCTCGTCGTTTCTGAACAGATTGAGGTTTGACCAGTCTCCTGAAGATGTGTTTCTTAGGAGCTAGTTTTCGTTTATGAGCCGAACTAAGGGGTAACACTCCTTTTAATAGGTTGTAAACAATCTCGCAGATTTTGAGAATACAATCTCCAGAACAATGTTTTAAAATACCCGTCTTTAATGGAGAGGAATAGTGAGGGTCCGATAACACTCTTAAAAGAGGCCAATGAGGTTTTAATCGTGTAGAACAGCATCTTTTCTTCTTCTTCTTCTTAGCCATCCTGGGGTTAAAATGAGGACATGTCCTAGGTTTCTCCCCTTTTTATACTCTCAAGGAGGAGCATACATGTCGTGTTTGGCCTTCTCGTGTTTGTCTCTATTTTTCTGGGTGACGTAGAATTTAGAACAATATCGGCATTTATATCTCATTCCTTTAGGAAGTTGAGGTGTAGAAGCGGTCAGAGGTTGAAAGCGTGCTATTTTAGGAGTGTGAATGGGTACTTTAATTCTAGGAGTGTGAATGGGTACTTTAATTCTAGGAGTGTGAATTCCCACATTGACTTGAGGAAACATTTCTAAATCGGGAGCTCTTTGACTGCCTATGGGTCCCATAGGACGATCCAATCTCATTTCAGCTTGTTTTTTTAATAATTCCCCAATAGTTTTTTGTCTTTGTTCTTTATAATACTGATTGATTTCGTTTTTTAAACTTTCAGGCATGGCTTTTCGTTGAGCTGGAGTTTTGGGAGTCGTTTTTTTCTTTCTACCACCTTTTCTTTGAGCAGCAGGTTTTCTCTTTTGAGGTTTTCTCTTTTAAGGTTTTCTCTTCTTTCTGGTCTTTTTAGCTGCTCCTCCTACTCGGACCATCCAATCTGGAAACACTCTTTGTTTCTTATTATTGACTCGTACTACCACACTTTTTAAACGACGAACACGTCGTTTCTTAGGTGCATTCCATTTAAATAAATGACGAATGATGACTCCGCCTAGAAATCCGGCTCCTCCGCGTTTTAAAATGGCATTTTTCCTGTCTTGATCACTCGCCGACTTATCGGCTATGATACTTAAATCTTGACGATGATTATTAATAAACTTTTGAGTCTGTTTATTGATAGGTAAGACCCCACGTATCAAATTTCGAGCTCCCATAGCAAACCAATTCAATAAAGCTTTACGCCCTAATTCGATTAAATGGGCTCGCTTGGCAGGATCTCGCTCCTGCTGTAAACGTCGTAACGTTTTCACTAATTTACTCTTGGCTGAGAGAGGTCGACCCATGACGACTGTATAATGATAAATGACAAGTTTAATGTTGATACATTTTTATTTATACTCTTGTGGCATGTGTATAGTTAACAATTCAAACAATCGACTTCTCAATCTGTATTCGTCTGGGGTGTGTGGATTCAAGTCCACCAGGAGATACCCGTGAGGAACACTGGTGGCTTCTTGATAGGCTGACATCAAATGAGGTAAGGCTAACTGTCGACTCAAGACACTGATTTGAGATTTGTCTCTGGGATTTTTAAACAACACTAAATAATGAGCATTCAAACTAATGGTGCGATGCTGTGGTGCCCGATCAAATAAATTCTGAGTAATGTAAATCACACTGGTATTCCGATAATGCGCTTTACGGGTAAACCAATCCACGATCGATTCGATGGCTTTTCCTCCCATCATGTCGTCAAAAATGAGTAAGTGAGGAATACTTAAATTGGCTACTAATTTCTCATCGTCTTCTGGAATATTTCGAATGAAGGAGACCTGATCTGTTAAAGAAGTGTAAGCAGGTTGCCATTCTCGATAACACCAGACAATTTTTTGTGGCATGGGGGTAATCCAATGTAAATTTTCCACTAATTTCTTAACAAATTCCGTTTTCCCCGATTTAGATGGTCCTGCTACCACCATGGTAAATTCGTGTTTTAATTGAAAAGACGGGAGTGTCTCGTCAGGTTGCATGATGATAAATGAAGAAAAAAATAGGGTTTCAATCCTTTTTATTCAACACAGAAATATACGTTGAGTTCTCTTCACATCGGATCGACAGATGGGGCAATACCGGAAGGTGGGAGCACATAATGAACAGCAACATATGTGTCCACAAGGGAGTAAAGCCATTTGTAATTCTCCCTCTAAACAAATGTGACATTTTCCTGTGGCCTGAATCTCTGTAGAGGTTTGCTCTAGTAGAGGTTTAATTTCAGGTGAAACTTTGTATCCCACCCGGAGTAAATGGTTAATAAATACGATCATCACCCACTCACGTCCTTTATAGGTATTGATGTAAGGACAATTAGGGTTCCAATAAGCATGTTCTACATAAGGATCGTCTGTAGGTTCCCAGTTGGTAAAACCCATACCACAATGAAAACAAGTGGTCTTATCACTCACTCCCCTGTAAAAAAATCCGGCTTTGGCTAGGTTGGGTAATAATCCTTTTAAAGACTCGGGCCATCCCTCTTTAAAGGTAGCTTCTCTCTTTAAGAGCAGAGCATAGTTAGGGTAATGAGGAACCCCCTCTGGCTCCCTAGAATGAACAGCCATGACTGAAGTGTTCAAATATGTTTGCCCCCTTTTTATAACCCCTTCATATTTTAGGGGTTTTCCCCACATAATAATAACACATTTTGAAATACAGTATGTTTTAATAACCATAAGGTAAAGTATTATAATCATTCATTAATTGTCTCTTATCATAGACAATTCTATATTGTTTTTCTAAAGGTACTGTCTTGACTTCATGTTGACGAGTCCTCTGTATTTTGTAGGGATAGGAGACTTGGATTTCATCCATTTCTTTCTTGAGCATTTTTTCTAATGTCTCTGGTGATACGATATTGGAAGCCCGATAATTAAGAGTCAATCCTTTGACTTTACACACGGAATTTCCCTTGGATGTGAGGTAAGCATAATTTTTAGGACCTCCTGACATGAATTTGATAATGTGGTCCCCGTCTAATTCATCAGTCCATTCTCCTAAACTGTGGCCAAGGGTAGGATTAAATTGTCCCTCCTTATGTTGGTATATGATACTGTCCGTATCGAAATAAAGGACCCGATCTCCTAAAGGTTGTAAAGTCTCGTAGAGGTGTAATCGGGCATGAGCGGTAGTGAAACAGGCCAGTACCACGTTTCCGAAGGGACACTCTTCTACAAATTCCTGTTTCTCTTGATAATTCACCAGCATCATGTCCGATTCGGGCTGCTCTTTATTTTCTAAGAGTTCTAGCCCTTTGATGTCAATGGTCGAATCTTGTAAGAGTTGCTGTACTTCCTCTTCTTCGGTCAAGTATCGAGTTTTAGGTAATAACAGGCGTTGAGCGAATTTTCCCCACAAGCAATTTAAAAAGAGTTTGGCTATCGTTCTTCGCACAGGATTTTTTTCTATATTTAATAGGTCCATTCTAATCCCTTCTCTGTCTATTACTTTACGAATGTAATCTAGTTTCTGTTCCTCCGTCTGACAATCAGGTGGGAATCCAGAGGCTTCCTGTTTGATCTTTAAGAAGGTATCGATGTAAGATCTGAATAAATCTTGACTGCTTTCTGGAAAATGCCAAACCTCGTAAATCCGCTCTAAAGTATATCCCATGTCTAAGGCTTTATGTAATTCTGTAGTCACCCAAGTACCTGTAAGACTGCGTTCCTGGTCTGTGTGTTGACATCGATGTTTAGAAGTAGAGTCCTGTCGTTCCGCACAGGTTCGACATAATGGAAATAATAACTTGCCTCCTGTGCGATAAGGTAAAACGGGGTGATAGAGGCCTCGGGGTGGTAAGACCCGACAGTGAATGAGGCCAAAATAAGTTCTCACGTCCTGGAATTGGTCTGTTATGATCTGAGGATGGCCTAGGGGAAAAGGTCTGTGTTTTAATACGTAAGGGTATAAGGAACAGACGTCCACGTATCTCATGTCCCCCTCCTCACAATACAATCTTGTAGCATTCGTGCGGCCTCCGTACAGGGCTTCTCGGGGGTTCAAAGGATCTGGAATGTCCAGGTCTCGTACATAATTCTGTAATGCCACCTCTCTTTGTACTTGTTGATCGAAATCGTGTTCCCAGATACTATGTACGGAGTACCCCATTTCCTCTAAGACCGTATTCCTCCTTAAAGTTTCCTCGTGTAATTCCTGGTAAGTAAATTGTGTCCGGTGAGGATGAGTTTCGGTCTGTAGATTGGGATAGCAAGTAGGGCATCCGTGCCAATAGCATCCGTAAAATTCGAAGATGGTGCGAGTAGCTTCCTGGTATCCATCTACAGTATAACTTCCGATCTTGACTTCTCCTCCGTTTCTAGCATGTCGTATGTGAGATCCGCTCTGGTGACTCATCCAGGTTAGTCACCGACAGGCTTTGGCGGAATATTGACGTGCAGGCTGATACCCCATGTTGGGAATGATGGCAATGGTATCTTCGGGCATGAATCCTCGACAGTAAGCTAAATTGGCCGCACTGGCAAAAGTGATGGATTCCTGGAAGGGGTCTACATGGACCAAGGTCTTGAGAGTGGCTCGAAACTGAGCACAGCATCGTCGTAAAATATCGACGTCTGAAATACAATAGTCTAAAAATTCCTTCTGGAAATCAAACACTTTTCCGGCTTGTTGTTCGTACCATTGGTAAAAAGCCTGTCGTCCACTAATAGACATGTCGTCCGGATTGTAGAATGCTGCCGGTGGATAAGGCCCCACATAATTCTGGTTCTGTTCTGTATTAAAAAAGTGAGGGAAATACCCTTTTTTCAGTTCTGTGAATCCGAAAGCAGAGGGCATTTTAGACAGAGCAAAAGGTAAAAAAATTATAGGAGTCGATGAATTTCAATCCGCAGATTTGCATGGATAAGATTTTACTGCCGTTCATGATGACTGTAGGCGTCATGCAGGCGGAATGCACCAGGTAATTTAAAATGAACTGTCCGTCATATCCTTTGAAATTGTGGGCAATGATGATGGCCTCGTCGTGTAATAAGGCGGAATTCTTATTTCCTGTGTCGGGTTGTAATAACCAGTCCATGAAGTGTTTTAAGGTATCTGGCCCTTTAAACACGTGTTGACGGGGTCCCATGTGTCGAAAGTGAGGACAGGGATCTTCTATGGGTAAGTGTCCGCAATGTTGACATACGCGGTGTGCCACACATAAATTAGGGATGTGGATGCCGTTTTCCTGCGTACATTCGAAATCGAAATAAATATAAAACTGTAATGTCTCTTTGCCTTTCTTTTTCTTTTTCTCAGGCTTCAGTTGAACGTAGCACTGATGATCCGTGTCTACAGTTTTCTTACAGATCTTACATTGTTTCTGTCCTCCGCAATGATGATGAGGGAGTAATCGTTTGGGCATCCATTTCTCACAATGCTCGCATCGTCCCATTAAACTGCATACCGTTGTGGCCGTATTCTTACTGTGAGGCCGTAAATGGTTTTCGTAGCAAGTTCTGCTCTGAAAAAATCCCTGGCATTGATAACATTGAATGTGGCTCCCGTCTGGAGGGCAGGGAGTGTCCGTTAAACAAAAGGAACAGCGGTAAGGACACTTGGTACGATGGTCTGTAATGTTCCTGTACCCCACATCGCAATGATCACAATAGAATTGATTGCCCGTCACACCTGGCATAGACAAAATGGCATCGTAATGATGATCGTCTAACAGAATATTTAAACAAGTTCCATCTCCGCAGCCTTTATAAATGGGCTCCAAACTGAGTTTAGAGGAGGTGGACTTGAACTGATATATTTTCAGTCGATAGCGAGGGGCTAACACCTGTTGTAATTTCCCCCATTCTTCGGGTCCACAAGGCTGATGAATATCACACGCGGCTTGTTCCATGAGAGCTAGGGCTTCGTTTTTCTGGTCATTAGCTCTTACATCTCCTAACCTCATGCGTTTCCATAATTTTTCCCATTCAACTAAACTCTCTGGATTTTCCGGTTTTTGACTGTGTAACCGGGTGACTACAATGGCTCGAGCTAAACAAAATTTATCCCAAGGATTGTCGATCTGAAGGATGCATCGTTTATTTTTCTTAAAACTCTCCTTGTTGACCATCAGGTGTTTGGTATTCTGTCCACCACTGCCTTCTGGATATTTGACGTGCAACATGTCGAATTCCATAGACCCGTCTCCCAGTTTAAAATCTTTCTTGGATTGTTGCACGGCTTCTATTTTATTTAAAATGACGTCCTCGTTTAAATGTTTACATTGAGTAAACTCGTACCAAATGTCGGAATCCAGAGAAGGGTGGTGAATGTTCAGGCGTACATAATCGTTAGGGTTACACTGCATGTGATACTTGACATTCTGTAGCATGTCTCTAAATAATCGCCGAACGAAGCCTCTGTTTTCCTCCTCTGGAAATTCTTTAAAATTCACACTGTACACATCTTCTTTAGCTTTAAATTTTCTGGAATGCTTAGCTTTATTGAGTCTCACTTGGTAATACTGGGAAATGGTCTTTGGCTTCGGTGGTGGTGGTGGTGAATGAGGTGGTGATGAAGACGGAGAGGGTAGTTCTTCTTCAGGTAGATTCCTTAAAACTTGTAGGTGTTGAGCTCGGTTGGCTTTGGCTCTCTTTAATCTTTCCATTAATCTTGCATTTTTTTTCCTGAGAACTAATTCTCTGGTTCTCTGTCGAGAAATAATTCTTTCTAATTCTTTCTCCCGTTTTTTCCATCTCATAAGTTGTTGTACATGTAACAATTGTTTCAAGGCACTATCAAAATTCATCTTGATAGATCTGACAACAAAATGAGCTGAAAGTCGGAGAAAGGCTGTATTTATAGAGTGTATGACGTCATAATACCTAGGTAGTTCGCTGATCCAAGACTAAGTATTGAGACGTACACAGTACGTACAAAAGGGTATATAAAGCAGAGCTGGAAATTTTAGGATCAGTCTTAGTGGGCATTTGTTACTAGACAGACGTAAAAATATGGCAGAGGAAAAGTCCATGAATTCACCTCCACTCATACCAGAGACACAGGATAGTATTGAAGGAAATGAAAGAAGTTTGATATGTGATATCTTAGATCAAATGACCAATGTAATGGAGATACTTCAACAGACTATTTGTGAGTTTAAAGAAGACATGATTACTGAGATTCGTGTGTTTAGAGGAGTGATAATGAATGAGATTGGAAATCTAGAAAAGAAAATAGAGACTAGTCAGGATCAAAAGCAGATTAACAACAAGAGGAAACTTCCTACTACCCAGACGGAGAAGAGCCTGAAACTCCAGAAGAAAAAGTAAATATGATGTACATATTACTTGAATAAATCATCTTACACACTTTTTTACTGTGTTATTGTTTTTTCCGTTTTCAGAAAATAGAGCTCTGTGTGAATGACACACATGACGTCACAATGGTATACTTGAATCGATGCCAAGATTGTGTATTGCCTAGGCCTGAGTCAGCACAAAACGTAGATCAAACGTAGACCCCCCTTTTTTACTTGGGTTTTTCCAGTGTCTATACTAGATTGAACCGGTCATCTGAGGCCAAAAAAAAGTGTACTCAGTTGACCCGGCCATCCAGGATCTGGGGGGATAAAAGTGCACTCAGTTGACCCGGCCATCCAGGCTTCTTATACTACTGCTGGGGCTTCTGGATGGTAACAACACCTGCCTCACTCCATGCTGTCCATTGAGAGAGTGCAATCTGGGTCACATCAGCAACATCACTGAAGTCAAAGTCTTCTTTTGTTTCTCTCAGTTGAAGAATTCTTTTGGCTTTAGCTTGTCCAATGCCCTCCAATGACTTCAAGTCCATCTCTGAGGCATTGCATAGATTGATTGGTTTACTTGTAGCCATTATCAATGATAAATATTTTATTTTTCAAAATACTTACAAGATAGGAAATAGAATGATAGCTTAGAGCAAAAGCAGAGCCAGTGGCCCCCAATACCTACACAATGTATGGGGCTATATTGTCAGAACTTACAATCTCAATGATAGTACTGCTGATAATTTTCTTTTCCTTTTTTGTTGAAATAATTAACCAGAGAAAAAGAAAAAAAAAATACTCAAGGAATAATCCAAATTTGAGAAACAATTAAAATTATATGACACGTAATGCGCGCCGTATATCAAAAGCGAGGGAATTTAAGTCACGTGACTTTTTTCTTTCTAAAATGTTGATGCAGTTAATAGTCGAATATGAAAATTAATGCATTCATTAATGTTCTGAAAATATAATTAATACTAAAAAACTATGGTTATAAAACGCATACACTTGTATTTATTTGTTACGAACCACCTTGTGAAACATCAACAGTAGCAAACACATGGTTCGTGAGATGCTCGGTGATATCACAAGAAATTATGTTGTTGCAATTTGGTAACCAAGAAAAGCGTAATTTCGCAGATTCCACAGATACTGGCGACGCCAATGTCGTAATGGTCGATGAATTACCTGACTAATCCCTCCAGATTATGTCTAATTGTATGACAGGCTATGTCGAAGACGTTTGGCAAGACGGAGGTCAGGAGATCTATGTCATTCTAGATAGGTCGTACACGGATGAGTCGGGCTGTGGTACCACACTAGCATATGACGTCAAGTCATTGTATACTTGAGCTAACATTACGGGGAAAGAGACATGACTTTTACATTCCTTTCACATGACATGTAAAGATTTTTTATCGTTGTTATTTGATTCAAGTGTATGGATTGTTCTTTAAGCTTAAGTGTTATGATGTTGAACATTTGCAATTTAAAATCGTTATTCATTTAACTTGTCCGATATACATATATTCAAACAATAACAAAAAAAAATGACTGTGAAACGTTATCCTTACACGTCCGTGGACAGAACTAACATTTATAAATCATGTATATATTTCACTGGCACGAGTGATTAAGAAGCCTAGGATAATTTGAAGACATTCTGTGTGAATCTACTAAAGAATTATGTCCTGTAACTGAATTTTGCCGAGGGATTGTATGTTATTTATCCTATTTTGTATAAATTGCGATAAAGAGTGGAAAATGCACCCTTGTATATGGGTAAGTTGAATTTCTCGTGGAATATTTTCTCAAGAAATAAAATTCAGACTTGCCCCCAGTACTTTATATGTACCAAAGATTCCGATGAATTAACTTAATGTGACTAATTTTTCTCAATAATGTTCTTCTGCACTTGTGTCGATGCGATTTTTATGCAACATTTAGGAATTTATAATTGTCCGTCACGTGATCCAACAGTCATGTGACATCCCAAAAATGCATTATTATAATACCTGATTACACTCTCATCACAAGTTGACTGCAAATTCATACATTCATTCATACAAAATGAAATTAAAATCTAGATCAAAATAAAATTTATATTTTAATGCATATTAAGACTTCGGACAGCCTTAACATAGCTGCGAAGCTTTCCGCAGTTCACCGCAGCCACAGGGACACATGACATTCAGAAAATATAAGTGAATACCCCTTCGTTCACAGATGACGGTATAGTCTATGACCCACAACAAAATATAGTTATACAAAGTTATGATGTATGGACTTTTTTTTGCCGAAAACTGAATTGAAGACTTGGGAGTATATAGTTGTCCGCCTGTCTGTCATTCATATTTCATATGTGTATTCCTTGAGAGAAGACAAGAGATAAAATATATTGGTTCCAAAAGAAAGGTCTTGTCACAAGAAGTACACACGTGAAATATGAATGCCATAGTACCAACCAATCAAAAGTTATGGGCAACTGTAATGAATTGCATTTTTTCTTTAAATTTCTTTCGTGGTGGCACCATACTTCGCTGCACTGGCTATGGTCATTGAATGGGTGAAGGACCAGGACATTAAGGCCTTTCTCGATCCCAGTGGGATTTTCCTGGTTTTGAGAGCTCATATAGTTAAAAGACTTTTGAATGTATTTTATCACTTTTGATGACAAACTTATGTTTTGTTTTGTTTTTTTTTTTTGCAGAGCATGGAGTGAATTTGATATATTCTTTTTGATATGGTTTTTGTCAAAGTGTTTTTTTAATGCTGGGGTCTATTCTTGACATAGTAGTTGTGTCAAATCTGAAGACATTGGCAAGGTTCCTGGCTATTGTATAGAATTTTTCAGGAACTCTTGAGCAGGTGTAGTGATAATATGGTATGATCAAGGTAATGGTACTAAACAGGTTATATTCTAATTCGTTAAACCCATCAAGCCAACCTTCCTTTTTAGATTTTGTCAAATCAATGATTTTACAATTCTCAATGGATTTCCTATGTAAAATGTTGATAAAAGGGGCATACATAATTTTTCACCATAAGATTTCACCAAAACTCATTTTTCCATATGGTTTATGTATTATTTACATTATTGTATACTCATTTCCTCTGATATTTAGATATTTTGGCTGAAAAAAAAATAAACATAAATACATATAAACAGATATACTGGCACCATTCTTTACTTTTGAGTTACTCCCCTTAACATCCAATCATTATTCATAATGGTCAAAAGTCTCTCTGACATGTAATTTACTTTACAGGAAACGAATTGTCATAAAAATATTGGCATGGATTTATTTTTAATTTTATTTGTAGCTACTAAATATGGTGCCTCCTGCACACGACCTAAGAATGTTCTCAGCCGGTCTTCCTTACAACTGCTGCATATTGTATCACATCTTTGCCTTTCCCAGCATAGCTAAGGTAAATGACGACCTGTTGGCTCTTTGTCCCCTGAACACAATGTACAAAAAGCATATTACTTCTTTTCTTTCTTGTTGTATATAGATGATTCTACCCGTTGAAAGAAGTACAAGTGTTTTTGTTTACCTCTGTAGAATACGCTTTATTGGTCTTCACGGTTCACTGCGTAGAGAATTCTACACGGGAGATCACTCTTGATCACTATTTTACAAGTGAAAAAACTCATGTATTAAACCTTTTTTCTCCGGAAAACCGTGCCTTGCCAATGTCCTTACGCAGAGTCCAAGAAATTTAACCTTCCAGAAAACATTTGATGTTGCCAAAAATAAATAAATAAAGCCAACCTGATTGTTGGTCAAAGCTGTAGTATATTTTGTATAGGACGAATCTTTGGTAAATATAAATGTCAAGAACTCGGACGAATCTTTGGTAAATATAAATGTCAAGGACTCGTAATACTCCTTTTCTTCCTCTAACTTCTCTAACATAATCCCGTAAGTATTCCTTGCGTCATTTTTTCTCATTGTCTGTTGTGAAAGCAACCAAAAAAGAAAACACTAATAGACTGAATTTATTCCGATTCTCAAACGACACCAATACAATAATTCTGACGTACTTCAAGTATTTGCATGATCTAGAAGAGGGGAGAGAGTCCGGAACCCCCCCCCCCCCTGGAATTTTTAGAGTTATTAAAAGTATATGCTGCAGCAAATAAAAATGAGTTAAGTACCCCCACCCCAGAAAACTTGGACCCCACCACCACCACAAAGAAATAGGTTTTTTTCTCGTTTGTGAAATGGATTATGGATTTTACGTTTGTTTGTTTGTTTTTTTTGATTTTTTTGATTTTGTTTTTTTATTGTCAATTTCTGTTTTGGAATTTTTAAAACTTAAGTGGACCCCCCCCCCCCCCCTGGAAAAAATTCCTGGGTCCGTGCCTAATTTGTCACAACTAAATTGAAGTGTGATTCAAAGTGCGTTTACAGGGATAGTCTAATAAATTGGTGTGAAACACAGGATAAAACTGATACAGATAAGAAATAGAAATAGCTGAGGCCATCAATAAAAATATCTTTGTTTCCATGCACTAACCCGACCCTAAAATTTGAAGTTGGGTAGGTAGGTAGGTAAAATTCCTAATTTTTTTTGCTGACAGCAGCTTTGAAAATACATTCTGAATTTATGATAAGAATGGGTTTTCATGAAATTGTACTTTATAAAAGTTGATAAACATTAAAAAAAAAAAAATTTCAGCCGGCGGGATTTAATTGGGTCGGTCGCGTTAGGGGAAACAAAGGTATTTTTTTTTATTTTGGCCTGACTATATTTAATAACAACACAACCCACACCTATTGTTGCATACATTTTTGTAAAAGGCATGCTAAACAGGAACTAACCCACACATAAATATTACATGTTCGTGCTCTAAACATATTATCAGATGTCATGATTGCATGGAGACATGAAATCCCCAGTGCAGTTACATATATGTTCCCCAGCGCAGTCAAATGCGTACCAGAAGTTGAATCACATATGTACATGTACCACGAGGTCCAAAGTACGATGCCATGTCTACACGTACCATGATTTCCTTAGCGCAGTCACGCATGTACCTTAAGCTCCCAAGAGCAGTCACATATAATTAGGTGTTACTAGAGCAGTCAATGTACCACAACCTCCCCAAGGTGTAAAAATTGCCTTCGGTTCGACAACTAAGAAAGTGAAAATCTAAGTTATATCAAAATATTTTGATAAATCAATTTAACATTTATGTTTATTATATTATAGTCTAGAAATAATTCCTATATATTAATCTAAACCAACGCAAACAGTTCATAATACTACATATTCACTGGATTTAAAGACGTATTCACCGGAGGATCAGAGCGCGTGCAGCGGCGTTGTGACGACACAACCAATATCTCAAATAAAGTTGAAAACAATATGGATGCAACGACTAGAGCCAGCTGTATATCTGAATAATTTAATTCTGATTCTAACGCGCCATTTGATTGGATGAGAAATTTACTTTATATCGTATAGATTGAGTTGCCTACGTCACAATTACTTGCGTCAAAATCGTATCGATCCGCCTGAGTTACATTTAAATTTTGTAAAATTTGAAGTCATTTTTAAGAGCAATCATCTTTTTTCTTACACTAAATGAATGAAAATTAAATTACAAGTAATGAAATTAATAGCTACCCAATTTATACGGTATAAAGTGGGTTGGAACAGTTTACACTTTTTTATAAACCGCGAAGCAGTTTATAAAGCGTAAACTGCCCCAACCCACTTTTTACCGTATAAATTATGTAGCTTTTAAATTCATTCCTTATGCCAATCGGCAGTCCTCGGCTGACTCCGCTACGCGCCATACAAACCTCGAGGTTAGTGTGCGAGGTACGAGCTCCGAGTGTATCTGAGCAGGAAAATTTTAAGGTTATCGCAAGATTATCTTCAAGTGTTATAAGTTGTAATGTGGACCTTTTTTTATATTTCTACGACAAAAGCTCGTTAATGAAAATGTAATCGTCATGCAGCCTTCAATGTCTTATTCATTCAAATCTTGACTATATAATAACACAATTATGGAACCCTCGGTAGTGAATATGATTATTTTGTTATTTACCAAAAAAATATCAATATTGATCGAGGCGAAGCCGAAAAAGTCCATAATTGTACAAGACTTTATGAAAAATCACCACAATTTGCAACAGTCTCAGAAGTTTATAAGTTATTCGTCTATGAAATAGTATACACACACCAAAGAAGGTAAAAATGACCATTTCTTCATATTACAAGATAATAATTTATATTGATTCAAAGCATTAAATCGAGTGCAAACGTCCCACGTGCGGATAATGATATCCTGGGGTCTGCAGAATATGTATGAATTTAATATTTTATTTAGCCGGAAATAAATGGTGTGTGTAGTGCAAGAGGTGCTGGCAATATATTTCATTTTTCCAGAAATCGCATAGTTTTCTTTTAAAACCAATTTTGTAAGCTGTTATATATTTATGATATAACTAGATCGATTTGGAAAATTAGTCAACACAAATCTTTTTCAGCATAGTTATTGAAACATTTTACATGTATTTTTAGGGTAGCAGTAAAGGATTAAATAACATTCTTTCAAAAGTAATTTAGATATATGTAAATCAGGTAGCATTAAATAAATTTTGAAAAGTAATTCGTTCGTATAAAATTGAAAATTTTCGTACGTGTTTTATTTAGTTAGTTGTTCCTTGGACTAATTTGAAACATATCATTTTGGAAAACGTCGGATGTTTCCGTTGCCTTTTTATGTAATGTCGTTGATCTGGCAAAGTACCGTATTATAGGAAAGAAAGATAATATAAAGAAAGTACATATATATATATATATATATATATATATATATATATATATATATATATATATAAAGCACTAAAAATGACCAACGACACGAACAATAATAATTGTCAAATTTTCGGGACAACCTGTCCCTTCCTCAGGACAAAGAAAAAAGTTAAGAAGTCATAAAAACAAAGAAGCAAAAACAACTAGCACTACTACTAATCTACCAAACACTAAATATTTACAATGTTACATGTTTAATTTGGAGTTTATAAACAGTTGTGAACAAAGAAATCCGGAGCGCTATGAATTGCGTCCGGTTTATCGGGTGTACGCAGGTGAAGTGTGATTTACATAATTGAACGAATTAATTATCGCTAATTAATTACGACCAAAAAATAGATCGTACATTGTCTTATTCTCTCAAAATAGCGTAACTCTACATGATAAAAAGAAATTAAAGAAAGATAATATGGAAGGACAATTTTGAAGTATGAATTTGGATATATTATAAATTTGGAAATCGGAAAAAAGAAATAAACAAAAATGTAAGCTGTAAATATTTGGGTAGGTTGTTCCAGGATTGCTAAAACGAACTAACGGTAAAGTTTACACTATATAGAGAGAATGAACTTGTTTGTTACAATCCGGGATTGGGTCTAGTTCACGTTCATCCTGGTGAAGTCATTAAGTTTGTTAATACCATTAGGGCGGAATGACTTCAGCCTGTGCATCCAGAACTTTTCCTTGCCTTTTCTCTGCGCGTCTGTCCATCTTGGATTATGGTCAATAACCACTACTGTCATGTCCTCCCATTTGTGACCTTCAAGGTTGAAATGTTCCCCAACGGGTTCATTGAGTTTCTTGGTCCTAATGGTAGAACGGTGATTATTGACTCTCCTGCGGAGATCTCCTGTTTCACCAACATATTGTTTGGAGCAAACTTTGCAACTGATGAGATAAATGCAGTTGTCTGTTTGACAGGACAAATTCCCTAGTATTTTGTAGCTGCGGCCTGTAACGGGGCTGTTAAAACTGTCTGTGTCAGAGCTGTACTTACAGAGAAGACATCTTCTGTCAGAGCAAGTTTTAAAGCACCCGTTAGGTAATGGATTGTCCAATCTGGTTCTTACTACCATGTCCTTTAGGTTCCTCGGGCGTCTGTATGCAGCCAATGGGGGCTCCTTAAAGACCTCTGCCATTCGTTTATTTGAGTGGAGAATTGGCAGATTCTTTTGAAGGATACCGCTGAGGTTCTTGAGGACGGGATGGTATGTGGTTACCAGAGGGACCCTGTCGCTATTGTCTTTTTCCTTGTAGCGTATTAGGTTTTGCCTGTCATGTCCCGCCATCTCATCAATAGCAGTTTGTACGGTGCGGGCATTGTAGCCTCTCTTGCATACGTGGGACTTAAGGAGACCGCTTTGTTCTTGATATAAGGCAGGGGATGAACAGATGCGCCGAATTCTGGTGGCTAGACCCTTAGGCACACCCTTACATGTAAATGTGTGTGGGGGATGACAGCTAGTTGACATAAGATACAGATGGGAATCTCTGGGTTTCGTGTGGAGACTGAACTTGATTTCACCATCATTCAGGGTAGATGTAGTATCTAGGAATATGTTTTTTGAATTAGATACGTCTACTGTAAATTTGAT